TAAGTACTATAATAAAAATATTTTAAAAGTGCTTTAAGAGCCTAGAAAGAATGAAATTAACTATGGTAAGGGGGACTGTCACTGAGAAGGAGACATTCAGGTGTCCCAGACAAACTGTTTCTATCCTAACTGGGCCTCAAAATGTCTGTTTTGATGGATTGGAGTTCCTGTCTCAAGGATGTGTGTTGTGTCTCTGTATTAGTGATCTGTAGCCCCACTCATGGCCACAGGGTAGTATCTGGATATTTCTATACAATACTCTTAGTGCTATACTATCTAAGCATTCTGGTTTTCCTAGTCTTTTCTCACCCAATTCTGGAGGTAAGGGACTCCCGGATGATTAGTTTAATTGAGTGAGGAAATGGGGTACAAAAAGAGAGACTGAAAAAATTTGGAGAAATGAAAGAGTAGCCCTGTGGAAGTCTGCTGCATTGAGCATGGAAGGCCATCGGACCCCCAGTAGACATGATATTAGCATGCTTGACTGACTAGTGAGTTGCCAATGAACCCTATGGCATAGAAAGCTTTATTTGTGCTTCTTAAAGTACATCTAGGTTGTCAGGGTATGCTGGTTTGTGGGAAAACAAACTATCCTAAGCTTATGTCCTATGAAGGGATATGTGTGGGTTTTCGTAGATGGGATTACGCATATGCATTTAGATGAGCTAGATGAGTATGTAGAGGGAAGAAGAACTTATAAAAAGACAGTAATTCATGCTGTAGGACTCCACAGCTCTTCCACACACCCCCAGAGCAGTTTTCAGAGTAGGAGATTGCCAGTTAGAAACCTCAGAAAGCTGTATTCTCAGGTGCCCTCACTGACAATTTTATGAGAATGCTGTTGCAGGCAATAACAGTCTACACAAGAATTGGTACTTTTAAAAGCACTAATTTTTTTTAACGCAAGGAATAAAAGGGATAAAAACTAAAGATATGATTTGATTTAGATGCCAGCACTTTGCTTACTGCCTCTGTCATAACTGTCAAAGATTGGGCGGGCAGTGGGAAGGAAGAAGGAAGTAACACCTTGATATGGCTTTTAAACACCAGAAAACTAAGGGCAAAACAAACAATAAATTTAGATGAATATTTAGATATTTTAAGATATTTTATGAATATTTTGTGAAGCTATATCTTTAGTGTTTCTTTGTGAGAAAATTATGGCAAAGTATACACCAGATTTTGGCATTTTTACGAGGACACAATTATTTGTTAGTGAAGGTTAAAGGGAAACTGAAAGAATTCCAGATTGCTGTCAGGATTTTGGAATAACACAATGGTAGATGAATTTTAAACTCAACATAAGCGAAGTAATGCTGTAGAAGCCGAGATTTTCAATAACTATGTTTATGCATTGTGACAGCTTATAAATTAAAAACCTAGCAACTCTTAAGAAATACACTCAGCCATCACTAGGGATAATAGAGGTGACTGCTCTATGAAAAGGGGAGCTTGGATTTGATGCTATATTGACAACGAAGAAGGAAGTCATTTAAAAAATAGTATTTTAATGATTATTTGCTGTATTTATATGCCACACAATTTAAAAGTTGTTATGAAATGAACATCTGTTTCCTCTGAAAAACTGGTATGTTGAAATCCTACTCCCCGTTGTGATGGTGTTAGTTGTGACAGAGTATCTCATCGTGGTTTTGATTTGCATTTCTCTGATGGTTAGGAATGATGAGCATTTTATCATATGTTTGTTGGCCACCTGTATGTCCTCTTTTGAGAAATGTCTGTTCATGTCTTTTGTCCACTTTTTAATGGGGTTGTTTCCTGCTTGTTTACTCGTTTAAGTTATGGATTCCAAACATCCCTTTGTCAGATGGGAGAAGGAAGATTATTTGGGAGATCGTTATGTCATGAGGGCAGAACCCTCGTGAATGGGATTAGTACCCTCATAAAAGAGACCTTAGGGCCAGGCGGGGTGGCTCATGTGTGTAATCTCAGCACTTTTGGAGGCTGAGGCAGGTGATCACTTGAGGTCAGGAGTTAGAGACCAGCTTGCCAACATGGTGAAATCCTGTATGTAGTAAAAAAATACAAAAATTAGCCAAGTGTGGTAGCATGTGCCTGTAATCCCAGCTACTTGGGAAGCTGAAGCTGGAGAATCGCTTGAACCTGGGAGGCAGAGGTTGTAATAAGCCAAGATTGCACCACTGCACTCCAGCCTGGGTGACAGAGCAAGACCCTGTCTCAAAGAAAAAAAAAAAAGAGAACCAGAGAGTTATCTTACCCGATTTGCCAGGTGAAGACACAGCAAGATGGCTTTCTGTAAGTTAGGAAATTGTTCCTCACCAGACGCTGAATTTACTAGTGCCTTGATCTTGGTAAACGTTCCTTGTTAAGCCATCCATGCTATTATATTTTTGTTATAGCCTCCCAAAGGGACTAAAACAAAACAAAAGCAAAAACTAGAAGCTGCTGTGAAATATAAATGGGCTAGGTGAGTGCTGACAAGAGTGTAGGTGGTAAATCATATTGACTATAGGGTTAAATACAAATAAAATGATTAATTTTAAAAATCTGTGTGTAATTAATTAATGTGGAATATTATTTGACAGAGCCATGACAGAATATATAAGCTGAACTCATTAGTGTATTCAAAGGGAAAAATAGAAAAGTCAAAGTAATTTAAAATGAGTTGAAAAGTTAAAATGAAAAAAAGTCAAATGTAGTATATTGAGAAATATACTATATTAAGCAACTTTTTTTTTTTTTTTTTTTTTTTTTTTTTTTTTTTTTTGAGACGGAGTTTCGCTCTTGTTACCCAGGCTGGAGTGCAATGGCGCGATCTCGGCTCACCACAACCTCCGCCTCCTGGGTTCAGGCAATTCTCCTGCCTCAGCCTCCTGAGTAGCTGGGATTACAGGCACGTGCCACCATGCCCAGCTAATTTTTTGTATTTTTAGTAGAGACGGGGTTTCACCATGTTGACCAGGTTGGTCTTGATCTCTTGACCTCGTGATCCACCTGCCTCAGCCTCCCAAAGTGCTGGGATTACAGGCTTGAGCCACCGTGCCCGGCTATTAAGCAACTTTTAAATGGTGTTGAGACAATTCTAAACCTCAAAATAAAACATTTCAATGCAGTCACATCTGATCTTAGACAAGTTATAAATTTCACCCAGTCTCTATTTCCTCCTCTGCACTGAAGGGTGATGCATTCCAGCAACAAACTATTTGTCTTTTGTCTGAGATTATATCTAACACAGTAGTAGTATTCCCTTATTCTCAGGGGATATTACCCAAGATAACGAGTGGATGCCTGAAACCTCAGATAGTACCCAATCCTATATATACTATGTTTTTTCTATCTGATAAGAGAGAGGGCTACTAAGTGACTAATGGTGGATGGCATATATAGCAAGGATATGTTGAACAAAGGATGATTCATATCCTGGGTAAGACAGAGTTTTCATCACGCTACTCAGAATAGTGTGCAATTGACAACATACACATTGTTTATTTTCGAAATTTTCCATTTAATATTTTCGGATATGGATAACTGAAACCAAGAAAAGCAAAGCAGAGAATAACTAACATAAGGTTGAAGAAATTTCCTCATCCATCTTCTTAACTATTGGATAATATTGATTTGTGGCCTAGATATTATCTTGCACTCTTCCTCTGACTCAATGGACTGGTTTGCTTATCCTAGGCAGAAAAGAGCCACTGAAATGTTGATCACAATGAAAGAGCTGTGAACATTGGCCGACCATTAGGGTTTTTTTGTTTGTTTGTTTTTTTGTTTTTTTTGTTGTTGTTGTTGTTAAAACTTTGAATGTGTGGAGGGAAGAATATGGGCATAGTAATCAGATAAACCTGGGTTTGAAACATAACTAACTGTTCCTTACCGGCTGATTCCAAGAGCAAACACGTTTCCTTATCTGGAAAAACAGGACTAATGCCCACCTTGAAGAATGAAAGTGCTATTCAGCACTCAGATCAATATACTTTGAGGTTTTTATTCCTTTTCTTCTTATTTATAATCCGCTAGGGCCTAACTAGAAAAGAAAACAGATCTGATTATTTTTAGAGTCTTAAAGAAATCACTGCTGGCTTGCAGTGAAAGCTTTAAACAAAATGGAATGAAGCAAGTCTCACAAATAGTAAAATCAGCCACTTTGACAGAGTTTGTATACCAAGGGGAATTTTAGCCAATAGGTATTAAATCAACATACACCTCCAGGATTCTTCTGTAGAACAGTATAACCGGTCATTTCTTTGCTTATGTGTAAGACTTCTAGAATGCTATGGTAAAATTAACTCTCTTTTCAATATATTACGCTTTAAAGTCTAAATATAAAGGCAGTCAGGGTCGATTTTCAGAGCGGAGAGGGAGGATTCGTCCAAATGGGTTTAAGCCCCTTGGAGGCCTCGTCCCCAGAGCAACCCCATCTACTAGATGCAAGGGGCATAAGGAATTCCCCTCCCTCCTTTTTTTCTTTCTTCCCCCTCTCTGGGCTCCCATCCTCATCCCCTTTGGCTGCTGCTTTTCCATCTTCGCTTCCTCCCATAAGCGGTCAAAACAGAAAACGGAAGTACCTATTTGTTGCTTAGTGTAGTGGTCGGAGAGGTTTTTTTTTTTTTTTTTTTTTTTTTAATTATGACCCTTTTAGGTTCTTCATTTCGCAATGATTGCGAACATCCGCTGGCTCATTAGGCCTCTTAACAAAAGACAAATGCCCCACTCAGCTGTGGCTGACTACCGCGCGGAGGCCGGGGTCGGCTGGAGGGGTTCTGGGTATCATGCGTCAAGGACAGTTCCCGGGCAAAGGGACCCGGGATCCCAGGAGACGCGTGCAGCGCCGCCCCCTCACGGTGGGGAGGCGCGAGACAGGCGGCGGTGCCTGTCCAGCCCGGGTAGCCCGTCCCGGGAGCGCGAGGGCGCGGGCAGCGGCCGGTGGCGGCGGCGGCGGGGACGCGGCGCGGCTGCCGCAGGGGAGCGCCGGGAGCGGCGGCGGCGGCGGCGGGCGCGAGGGGCGGGGCGCACTCCGCAACTTCTGCCGCTGCCGCTGCCGCTGCCGCCCGGGCGCTCTCGGCCCAGCAGCGCGGCTGCTGCGAGCTGTGGAGCGGCCGGCTGAGCCCGGCCCCAGCGCCCGCGAGTCCGCGTGTCCCGGGCGTCCGTCGGGGGCCGAGACGCCACCCGCAGGGAGTCCCCTCGCGGCCGCGCTCCCGCGTTACCCGCAGCGGCCGGGGTCCCGGGGTGTGCGGGGCCCCGAGACCGAGCCAGGCGCCCCCCAGCGGCCGGCGCGGGCCCCATGGCTGGGCCGGGCGGAGCGGAACCGGCGAGGTGAAGCCCCTGGCCGGCAGCCGGAGCGCGTGGCGGGGGCGCCGGCTCCATGGGCAGCTGCACACGGCGGCGCGATGATGGACGTTAACAGCAGCGGCCGCCCGGACCTCTACGGGCACCTCCGCTCTTTCCTCCTGCCAGCGGTGGGGCGCGGGCTGCCCGACCTGAGCCCCGACGGTGGCGCCGACCCGCTCGCAGGCTCCTGGGCGCCGCACCTGCTGAGCGAGGTGACAGCCAGCCCCGCGCCCACCTGGGACGCGCCCCCGGACAATGCCTCCGGCTGTGGGGAGCAGATCAACTACGGCAGAGCCGAGAAAGTTGTGATCGGCTCCATCCTGACGCTCATCACGCTGCTGACGATCGCGGGCAACTGCCTGGTGGTGATCTCCGTGTGCTTCGTCAAGAAGCTCCGCCAGCCCTCCAACTACCTGATCGTGTCCCTGGCGCTGGCCGACCTCTCGGTGGCCGTGGCGGTCATGCCCTTCGTCAGCGTCACCGACCTCATCGGGGGCAAGTGGATCTTTGGCCACTTTTTCTGTAACGTCTTCATCGCCATGGACGTCATGTGCTGCACGGCCTCGATCATGACCCTGTGCGTGATCAGCATCGACAGGTAAGGGCCGGGCCGCCCCGTCCCGGGCTGGGGATCGGCTGGCAGCTCAGCCCCGCGCGCTCGCCCTTCCTGGGAGGATCAAGCCAGTCTTCGAGGCGGGAGGAAGGGCTGCGCTTAAACAACACCCCCTCCATCCACCCTACACCGACCAAACTTCAGTTACAGCATAGCCTATGTACATCTTTAAAAGAAAAACCCGAAATGTTCTGGTTTACTGTCGTGACGATTTTAAGACCAAAGTTATGAGTATTTTAAGCCTTAGCATTATCCACCGGGGGTCCCTTGGCTTGGGTTTTTGTAAGGAAGGGATTTGATGCTCCTTGACTTGATCAAGCCTTGCTGTAAGCCTTAAAGAGTCATTTCTTTGGGGGGGGGGGGGAATCAGTCGGAGAAAAGCCGCTTTGCTTCCCCAGTTCTGGGAGCTACTCTCTATGTCAATGAAAGGACCTTAGATGGTTCTAGAGTTGGGGTCTACATGTCTTAGACATTGCATCCTTATGATGATCAATTCGGAATTGCATTCTTGTTTGTGGAAGTCTGGTTTTAATGTTTGGCAATGCTGTCTGTATCTTGCAGGCTTGCTGACTGGAGCCTTGCTCCAGGTCTGAATGGCTGGTTCTAGCCTTTCATCATAGCCCTTGGGAACCTTCTCTTGAGAATTCCCCCACTGGAATAATTGAAATAGGCTGACCATCTGTCAGGGATGCTAGGGGAAAAATTCCTGCCTTGGGTGTCATATTGAACTAGGAGGCCCGCAGGGTTTCTTCAGACTCTAAGGGAATAGGCTTTTGAAATGGAGTTAGTCTTTGACCCTTCAAATATTGTGCCGTTGACAACTTGAAGTATGGTCTCAATCCTCTTTGGCCTAAAACAACTCTGTTTCACTTGAAACTGAAATATGGAACCTTAATATTCACACTCAGCATTCTGCTGGTTTTTTAAAACCAGCACAGGACTAGTATCCTGTTGTGTTTAATGATACAGAGAAATGGTTACTGATTTTCTTAGTGGATCTATAGAACCTTTGTATGTGTAGACCTTTCAGCCTAGGGGAAATAATTGATGCCTCTACAGTTAAAATGACAGTGCCTCAAAGGATGGTCTAGCATGAAAAACTGAAATTTTCCTTTTTTTCTTCTTGAAAACACTGCTATTTGTCGTTTGTTGATACTTAAAATGTTCTGCTATATATATGTTTTGCTTTATAATTACTAAATAAAGGAAATAATAGGAAAGGGAATATTTTTTAGAAGAAAAATACATTGTAGCTCCTTTTAGTTAACAATTTAGGTTATTTTTCTTTAAATTGATTCTACCATTTTATATATCATGGTAGAAGCTGCTGACAACAAACAAGGAATTAAGAGCAGAGCATGAACTGCATATGTGAGAATATTAGCAGCAAATTTGGCAGCTGAAGTTCTGAATTACAGTAGTTAAAAATGACAAAAACATAAGCATTTACAGTTTGGCTATAGCAACTGGAATTAGGAGAGTGCACTCAAACACATAGTAAGTATATACATGAGTTATAAGCACAGAAATCTGACTGCTAAGCCAACCAAAACGGAGCATCTTGCATGAATGCAGTCTTTTTAAATGGAACTTAGTGTAATAAAACAAATAACGGTTTATGCTGCAAGTACTGTATTTATAACCATTTTATTTAAAAATTTCACAGTTGATAAACAATGCATAAATAGTACCTTGTGCTAGTTTGTCTCCTAAGACAGTCAGTGTTTCTCTTCTGGGCTACATTGAGGTTTGGCTGAAATCAACTTGTGATTCCTGTACATGAGCTAAAGGCATTCTTCACTCAGTGTGCATGTGTGACTTAGCATCAGCAGGCATGTCCTGAATACAGAGAAGAGATTAATCCTTCTTGGCAAGAGCTTAACATTTTATTGTTACCTATATTCTTATGATTGTCACAAAGTGTGGTAATATAGGCATGTAGATTCTCCTTTTACCTATGAGAATTACCCCACTGGTGAATTCTGCTTAAAAATTATTTTAGAAGATCAGCATATCAATTCTTTAGAGAAAACAAAGAATTGATAAAATTGGAAGACACAGACTGATTTTCTTCCAAGGACATTGAGAACTAAAAATGAGAAAAAAGGAAAATGTATTATTTCTGAAAAGAATGTTTTCTGCATTCTGTTGTAGAATATGACAGATGATATAAAATATGCTGTGAAAATATGTAAAAAATTAATCTTCATTCGTTCCCTTGTTCATTCCCTCTTGAGTACCTAACATAGGTTGCACTGTGCTTTGTAAAGCATAATCAAAGATGAATTACAATATTGTTGCTTTTGTGCTCATACTGTATTTTGAGAGTTTGGACATTTAACCTGTGTAAAATGGAAATCTGTTGGACATTTAACCTGTCTAAAATGGAAACTTTCATTTTTCTTGACTACTCCCCATCACACTGGGATACTTTTCTAATGTGGTGCCATACATACGGTTCTTTACAGGCTTCAGAGTTCCCATCCCTGTCTTTTTCAGATAATGACTTGTATGCATTGAAAAAGTAACAGCCATCAGATGAGAACTCTTATCTTTCCACCACCAAACAAACAATGTGTCCTGCAGATGTACTCTTTTTTTTTTTTTTTTTTTTTACTTTTTTTCCAGTTAAAAAGCAAAAAGACATTGTGTGCCAGCAAATTACAAACTCCTTGGACTTTATATTCCATCTCCCTGCCTTCTCAGTGACTTTGTTCCTTCATTGATTCTTCATGGATGGTCTTTTGTTGTTTCATTGTTATTGTTGTTTGTTATTGTTTTGAGACAGAATCTCACTCTGTCACCCAGGCTGGAGTACAGTGGCACCATCTCGGCTCACTGCAACCTCTGCCTTCCAGGTTCAAGTGATTCTCCTGCTTCAGTCCCTTAAGTAGCTGAGATTACACGCAGGTGCCACCACGCCCAGCTAATTTTTGTATTTTTAGTAGACACGGGCTTTTGCCGTGTTGGCCACGCTGGTCTCAAACTCCTGATATCAACTGATCCACCCTCCTTGGCCTCCCAAAGTACTTGGATTATAGGCATGAGCCACCGCGCCCGGCCCATTGATGGTCTTTCTTCAGCTTTTCCTTTCTATTGTGTCAGGTTCAATCTTGTATCTTTTTGTTTTTTTTTTTTTTTTTTTTTTTTTGAGACGGAGTTTCGCTCTTGTTACCCAGGCTGGAGTGCAATGGCGCGATCTCGGCTCACCGCAACCTCCGCCTCCTGGGCTCAGGCAATTCTCCTGCCTCAGCCTCCTGAGTAGCTGGGATTACAGGCACGCGCCACCATGCCCAGCTAATTTTTTGTATTTTTAGTAGAGACGGGGTTTCACCATGTTGACCAGGATGGTCTCGATCTCTCGACCTCATGATCCACCCGCCTCGGCCTCCCAAAGTGCTGGGATTACAGGCTTGAGCCACCGCGCCCGGCTCAATCTTGTATCTTTTAAAACTTTTCTTTGGCCTCTGGCCTCACTTCTTCCTCCAGCTACTGCTCTGCTTCAGAGTTAAGCTGCTCAGATAATTGTATCCATAAGCTGTCTTTTCTTCCTTACACTTCAGATAGATGACTTCGATGCTTATTAGGTTTACTGCAATATTCTAATTGGCTTTCCTGGTTCCACTTCTGCCCAGCCTTGATCTATTCCCTAAGAAGAAGAATGATTTATTTTAAAAACTTTTTAAAGTGAGATAAACATTTATATATAATGACATGTACAGATCTTAAATATCCAGTTAGTATGCTGACAAATATATATACCTATGTAACCAATGTTCTAGTCAAGATACAGAATATCTTATCATCCAAGAAAGTTTCCTTGTACCCATTTTAGAATAATCTTTTAAAAATAGAAATCAAATTACCAGCCAGATTTGGTGGCTCACAACTGTAATTCCAGCACTTTGAGAGGCTGAGGCTGGAGGATCGCTGGAGCCCAGGAGTTCAAGACCAGCCTGGGCAACATAGGGAGATCTCATCTCTACAAAAAAAAAAAAAAAAAAAAAAAAAAAGCCAGGCACGGTAGCATATGCCTTTGGTCTCAATTACTCAGGAAGCTGAAGTGGGAGAATCACTTTGACCCAGGAGGTCGAGGCTGCAGTGAGCCATGATTATACCACTACACTCTGGCCTGGGCAGTAGAGTGAGGCACTGTCTTAAAAATAAAAAAAGGAAATCAAATTACTTTTTATGTATAGTTTTAAAACATGAAAAATAGTTTTTCATATCATTTAGGGAAGCTTGTAGAAAGAGTAAAAGTATAAAATAGTGCAGGGGAGTGGTTGACACCAAATTCAGGGCAGTGGTTTATCTCTGGTGGGATGGGTGGAGGTGTAATCAGTAGTATATGTATCACCTATATTGGTAATGTTTTATTTCTTAGTCTTGGTAGTGGATATAGACTTACTATTCTTTGTATAAGTTTTTGTATGACTGAAATATTTGTTAAAACTTTTTGAAATTCATATAGAAAAGTATATGTATGTGCATAATTCTAAGTGTGAGCTTGATGAATTTCCACATCCATGTAAACAACTGTATTAAGAAATAGAACACTGGCAACCTCACAGAGTCCCTTCCTCTCCCTTTCCAGTTTCTATTGCTTGCAAAGATTGTGCTGACTTTTAGCATTACACATTGGTTTTGCTTGGCTAGAAGTTCATATAAATGGAGTTGTATAGTATGTACTCTTTCAAATCTAGCTTCTTTAGCTCAGCGTAATGATGATGAGAGTCATCCATAGTTTTTAGTCTGTCAGTGGTTTATTCATTTTATTGAAAAGTAGTATTCCATTATATAAATATACCATAATTTGTTTATCCATTCACCCGTGGATGGACATTTGAGTTTTTTCTTTTCTGGCTATCACTAATAATGCTGTTCTGAACATTTATTTGTGTATGAGTCATTCGTGGACATGTTTAAATTTATTTTGGGGAAATACAATCCTAGGGTAATAAGATACTTTGGAACATTTTAATTTT